CACTAGTGTCCCAATAAAGAACAAAGTGACCATTTGCATCACGTGGAGTGATGTTTCAAGGCAGTAATTGAAAACAACACAGACCTGCAGAACAGTATTAAAAAAATAAAGATTTACAGTGTTTAAGTAGCATTAATTTACCCCCCCATCACTATTTTTTTTTAAACACAGTGAATTTGAAACATCCCTGTACTGCAACAGAAAAGTAGTGTATTATATGTATATACTGAGAAAAACCAAAGTTTGGCACTTATAACAGCTTTCTTTTTGTTATTGCATATTGAACCATGTATGGCAAATACATAATACCATAAACAATCACTCTGTACAGACTGTATATTTATGGAACTACTAAATTGATAAACTTGCACTTAAAACATAAAAATTCACTTTTGTACTATTGTGCAATTGCCAAAACATGCAAGCACAAGAAATATTTGGAGGAAGAAGTACTAGTACTTAACTCCTTTGAAAAAGTTACTAACACCCCTAATAGAAAATAAAACTGTGGGATTTTTTGGAAGGGGAATCCAATTCAGAAAGATAAAGTCAAGGGCTGCAGTAGCTTTGGGGACTATCCACCTTTTATTTTCAGTGGTAGCTCTGACGCATAAGAGTGTCTGAATGTGCTTTTGAGTATTATGATTGCACAGACACACAGGACAAAGTTTGTCTGCAGTGATTAATAAATAGCTTTTCAGATTGAGATTAACTTCCAGATTCATCTAGTTTTCTTGTAAACTTTAAAGAGAGCTTCAGGGCTACTGCAAGTCACTTGGCTGCGGACAGCAAAATTGACGTGGAACTGTCAGGATGAATCACGTGCAAATAGCTGTTGCTGGTAAAATATTAAAAGGAGAAATGACTTGTTTTGCTACAGTTAAGCAGAGGACTCAAATTAGTGCTGTATAAAGGGTACACAAGCAAAGAAATCTAATCTAGCTCTGGGTGTTCAAGCAGGCCAAAATTTCCCATGTGGTTATACAATGTGTAGAAAGAGACCTGAATTTCCAGGCTTAAATGGCGAGAAACTAATTACTACACTGATTGTAAGGAACAGAAAAGGTGCTAGGTGTGTCTTTCTTTAGCCTTTGCCAGAGTTCTCACAGCAAAACTTTAGCAGAAATTGTGCACTGGACCAATTATGTCTGTTTTTGAACATACCCCCTACCCCTGTGGCAAAGAAGCCACAGGCTTCACACTTAAAACAGGAATAGGACAGTGCCCACTAAGATTAAGGCTGAAGAACCATTAACCCCTTTTTATTTCATTCATTTACTTTAATAACTTTCCAGAACATTCCACATTTTACCCTGAAGTTCTCAGTTCTAGGCCTCTACCCTAAGGCAATTTTTTTGGTGAAGTGAACAAAATCCTAATGTATTAATTTTAAAATTCAACTGAAGGAAAAGAAACAAACCTCCACTATTCCCATTTTCAATTTTTTTAAAGACAGGGATAAAACAAAAATGGCTGAGTTGTGAAACAGTTGAACAATTCTCACCGAGGCCTCTGAGTTTACAAAATATACTTTTGATTAAACACATGACCATTTAAAAACTGCATACTAACCATGCATGATAGATATTTTCCTTAGTATATGCACTATGCACACAGGAAATTAGTTAGCTCTGCACTTAAAAGTCCTCTGTCAAATCCAACAGAGTACTTTAGCTATGCAAGACCATTATTTTATTTTATTTTATTTTATTTTTCAAGAAAATGCAAAAATGACTCTGTTAATACTGCTTTACCCTGTTAAATGCATTCTAACATTTAACAGTTTTACCATAGAACGTGGCCAAAGCACAAAGAATTTGGATTTAAATATATTTTGTGCATTTACTGCAGTCTCTTGCTGGGCACTGAATGCTATTAGCTCTCACTATTGTCAGTTTTCAGGAGGTACTTCTTGCAAGATATTAAATAAAAGATTTCATAAGCATCCAAGGCCTGATCTACTCTAGAGCGGAAGGTCAACTTAAGATTCCCAACTCCAGCTACATTATGTAGTCAGAGTCGACGTATCTTAAATTGCCATCCACACAGTGTGAGGTCAATGGGAGCAAATGCTCTCGTCCACTTCTCTTACTCCCAGGGCCGGACTGAGGCATGCGGGGCAGCTGCCCAGGGCGCCAACCGATGGGGAGCACCTGATGACAGCTGTAAGGGGCGTAAGGCGTCCCTTACAGATTCCATCAGGCACTGCGCGCCTGGCTCCCGCAGCACCATTCCCCGCATGGCCACGAGGACCTGCATCGCCCGACATGTGTGCCAGCAGTGCTGGCCGGGCTGGAATGGGCAGCGCATGCGCCGTGTGCCCCAGGGGCAGGCCCGCACACCCTGGGGGGTGGGTGGGCCTGCGCATGTGCCGTGCACCCAGGGGCGGCGCCACATGCCCAGGCCCAGGGCGCCAAAAGGGCTCAGGCCGGCCCTGCTTACTCCTCATGAGTAGCAGGAATACCGGCACCAACGGGCGCACCCTCTGAGTTCAAATTAGCATGTCTTCACTAGACCCGCTCAATCGAACCTCGGAAGATCGACCGTGGCAGCATCAATCTTCTGCACAGTGTAGACATGGCCTAAGTTACTTAGGAGCAATGATGCCTATAAGCTGAGTCCTTGGGGGCCACCCAGGAGAGATTCCAATGCCACCCAGCTGCCAGTAGCACGTGTTTCTATCAGTGGTGCACATCTGCACATGCTTTGGGGCATACATTTTATTCCGCACATGGATAGAAAAAGTTACAGTGAACATTGCTTAAGAACCTAAATTCCATTTTCAAAAGTGACAAATACTTATGCTCTTTGGACATAATGCATGTCTACACGCAGCCACTATAGTAATATAGCTCTGGCTGCTATAATGCCCTAGGACTTGTCTACATTACCCCCTGCTCTGTTGATCTAATCTATGCGACTTCTGCTATGCAAATAGTGTAGCTGAAGGCAACGTACTTACCATGGCACTTTGTGCGTTGTAAGGTTGGTGAGGGCTGCTCTCCTGGTGATGCTGGCTACTCTTCTTACTCTTCTCATCATGGAGTACCAGCGTCAACAGGAGAGTGCTTAGACCAATTTATCATGTTTAAGCAAATGCAATAAATCGAAGGCCAGTGGATCCACTGCTACAGCGTCAATTCCCCATGTAGTGGAGACAAGCCCCTGGTGTGGATGCTTTCCATATGAAAAGAAGGGATTTCTCAGTCAATGCAGTTAATCCATTTCTTTCAGAGGCATTAGGTAGATCAGCAGAAAAGTATTCTGTTGACCTAGTTGCGCCTACATCTGGGGTTAGCTCATCTTAACTATGTTATATTGGGCGCATCATTTTATAACACTGAGCAATGCAGCTAGGTAGATCTAATTTTTAAATGGAGACCAGGCCTTAGGCTACCAGGGGTCTAAATCACTTTTAAAAACAGAACTTATGTGCTTCTGACATTTCAAACTTTAGCCTTTAAAATGTAAGAAGTTGTAACCTTTACAAAACTTTCCACAAAAAAAATCTGAAGATGGAAACAGTAGTTTACACTTTTGTAATAAAGCATCATATAAAACAAACCTAAAGACAAATATTAAATCAAGTAAATTTCTATCGCAATATGTAAAAAAACCTATTTAAAATATAATGATTAAAAATAGCTTACTTTATACAGTTTAGATTCTGCTGCACTTCAGTATTACAAAAATCAGTGGACTAAATTATGCCTGTTATTGAATTAACTGGATGATTTCTGTCAACAATACAGAACCCTGATGAAAATTATTAAGTCTTAGAATGTTTCATTAAGGAAAATTTAGATAGCTGAACACTAGCTATTTTGTTCCAGTTGTGGCCTGTATTTGAGAAAGTTATCTAAGATGGATCAAAGGAGTTGATCTGGAGTTACATGAGTATAAATGAGGGCAAAACTGGGGCCACTGATTTTTAATTGAGGTCCTTCAAAATTTCAGAGTGGAAAGAAGAGTGTCTTGTAACAATACCAGCAACATGAAAAAGTATTAGAAATCTTTTTTTGCAACGGGCAGAGATAGGGATAAGTTTCAACTGCATTTCGCGCTCCATTTCTTCTTCTTTTTTTTTTTTTTTTTTTAAAAGAAATAGTGTATCGCAAGTCTAAAAATGAAATTAAGTGATGAGGTAAAGTATATTCTACCAGCAGATCTTTCCTATTAACGTAACCATTAAGTATTACTTTCGGTGCGAACACAACTTAAAAGGAAAAGGCCGTAAGACACATTGTTCACTACAACTACATTGTAAAACAAGTTTTCAAAACCCAACAGCAGTAATCAAGACTCTGTATCTTAGCACACAGATCATTAGCAAACCAGCTTCTGATCCCAGTATAAGTTGCCTGTACAATTTCCTTTAAAACAGGAACCTGAAATCAAGTTTTCCACAACACATATATATCCTTTTAATGCCCCACCTTTCCTTCTTCCCTTTTGCACAATACACCCGCTGAGGGGTTCAAACTTGCTGTGATTTTTAAGTCATCCGAAGGGAAAAGGAATGCTATTTCTCTCTAAAAATCAACTCAAGCACTGCATTTCCTTTACCAGCTACAGTGATAAATTCTACGCCTCAGTCCTTCCCTTTACTTCAGCAATTGCAGCTTTGGAAATCCACATCAAGAATGCATGCTGGCCTGCCAATGCACTAAAACTTCACACCATTTGAATGACACAGAGGAGAAAAAACAGTTTACTCATTTACAATATATTGTAACTCTTTGTTCCATTTTAAATATATTTAAAAGATCCTTAGGAATGAAAACATCAGACATGAATGAAAAACATATGTACACCTCCACCCTTTTAGGCACAGACCTTAACTAGTGAGAAGGACTAGAAATAAAGGTGCAATAACCAACATCTCCCTCCAACCAATTCAGATACAGAACAGTCTTTCAATATACCAGAGAGGTTGATTTTCATACAGCATATTTGTGTATTAAAGCTATCCAACTGAAGATAGCAAACTGATTCTTATCAATTCCCCTCAGGGGAAATGCACCTTTTTTTTTTTTTTTTTTAAAATACAATTCCTTCCTGCTTCAGACACAAGGAACTCCTTCATTAGTAGTTTAATTTTCTAGACTGGACTGAAGGTGTTCTTGTGGTCATGGTACTTTTTTCATTTTAATATACAGCTCCCCCAAACAAGAGCTAAGACTCAAGTTTTTAAGCATTTTAAAACAAACAAAAACAGTTACCATACCAAAGCACAGCATGTAATATAAGTTTCAGTTGCAATAGCTTTGTTTTTCCTTATATAAAGCCATGTTATGGTGAACTGTGTTGGGTTCTTCCCATCTCCTCCATTTTCAGAGGACTAGTCATGGGGAAGGAACACGAATACGGAACAATCCTTGTTGAAGCTGCAGTCGGAAAAGCTTGCAATTTGCAATCCGCAAGGCTGCACAGCCAGTGCGGCGAAGGTCTGATGGAAATAATGGCTTTGTATGGTGCCAAGTTCCTGTGCTCCTTTTAAACTCTCTAACGTAGTCATAATTGGTACCTAAAGTTAAAAACAAAACAAAAATAAAAACAAAAACCTTGCACACACTTTTACAATATAAGTCTAATGAAGCTAATATATTTCCAGACTGAATGGCAGTACAAAAACTATTCTGCCAACCTATTCATAAGTTGATCTGAGCAGTTTTAGAAAGACAGATAGAAAGGAAGAAGAGTTGAGATAAACCTGTATTAAAAAGAACAAAAACAAAGGAAACAACAACAACAAATTTGGGACCTTTTTACCTCTCTTATTTTCTGAAATTTCATTTACACATAGGTACATAGGAAAGTAAGTTAAAAATCTTTCAAGAGCCATTACAGAGGCAGGTGACATGAAGAGTAATTAGTTTAAAACATTCAGTACAGGCAATGCCAATTTTAGAAGCCACAATGTTGCAGGATTTCAACACACCAGGGGGCTGGGTTCTTTGCTAGAAGATGGAGCACTGCATGTGAAAGAAAACTTCCAGGAAAAAAAAAAAGTAGGTTTAGCAATTATGATTCTAATAGGTATGTCGTGTTCATACAAAGCCTAGTTTCTATTGTGACAGATCATAATTTTGGGCAGGTTTCAAAACAAAGAATTATAATACAGGCCTTTGAAATAGTATGTCGAAAACAAAGCCAGACATTAACCACAGGTAAGGAATATGTCCATATACTTCAGAAGCTAAAGAAAAATTCTACGGATGTACAAATCAATACTCCAAACAGGATGCAGTGAACAAATTCTCTAATGTTTCAGAGACCATTCTAACCATTACTGGAAGAGCCACATATTTTCTCTTCGTTCTTTAAACTACTGTAGAGATTTCTTAGTATTTGCTTGGCAAATACATCAGTTCCATGTGTCAGATGTAAAATACTCAGGAAAAAAAAAGCCCTTTGAGAAAAAAAAGCTAAGCATTTTATCAGTAAAAGCAGACAGCTTTATAACTACGAAGAAAGTATAAACTCTCACAGCCATCTTTACAAAATATTAATACCCAGATTTTATCATATTTCAATGTGTTAACCTGTCTTAAGAACCCCTTCAGAAGTAAAAAGTTACTTCTATAAATGCTTTAGAAGCATTTATAGTTTTTAGTAGCTTTTTCAGAAAAAAAATGACTTGTTTCTCTGCTTTTTCCTCATTCTTTCATTTCTTTAATAATGTGACTCAATCTTGGAAAGTCGACCAAATTAAAAGAAAACAAGACATTTGAAGTTACCAGTTCTGATTCTAACCTGTATCAAGATCTCCAATCACATAAATACTGGCCCCAATAGGTACAGCTCCATATACAAAGGAAGAACTGGCTGGAATGCACAAGTTCTGATCATTCAGATAAATCCATCTGCAAGAAAAGGCAAAAATTTGCTTATGAATTATTGACAAGATCGGCTACTAAAAACAAGCTTTTTGACAAACAGTTTTACAATTATAAACATAAGCAAAATCATGCAAGCTAACATTTTAGGCAAAGATTCCATGGGGAATTGGAAATCCAAGTTGTTATTCCTTGTCTATCTGCACAGATGTGGTGTAATAAACTATTCAATAATTCCACAATAACTCCTAATGTAGTATTCCAGATGGGGAGCTATTCTGAAATAGCTTATTTGACAACTCCTATGCCAGTCAATTTCCCTATGTAGACAAGCCTTTAGCAACTTTGAAAAGTCTCACTCTTGTACACTTGCTTTCATATATATGTTGCTTTTAGAACACTGTACAGGAAACAGCAAGCTCCTATACTACTGGTTTTGAGAGCAGACACTACAGTTATCCCTCTCTGCCCCCCCAAAATTCTAACACCATCCTTATATTCTTCTGAGTTGTCAGAAGTAAATTACTACTTAAGAAGTGCGCAACCGCAGATTAAATTTATTTTAAAACCAGAAACAGGAGTGTAAATACCAAAAATCCTTAAGCAATCTCAAGAGTAAGTAAAACAAATGTCTAGCCTTTTCAGACCACTTTCCCAATTTTATATCATACTGTATTTGGTTTTCATCCCTACTGAAATACAGCTGTTTTCTCTTTAAAGGCTTCCCCAACTTCAATACTTTGTCAGTCTGATTTTCTTACTGATAGAAGACCAATTGTTGTATGGATACCTGGGCAAACCAGAAAACTAAAGATTGATTTATATAGTTATCTTGTTGTAAATACCTGAAGTACAGAGCTGCTAGTTGAATAGTCTCTTCTGTGGTATTGAAATAAACCTCTGCAAATTTCTGACATTTCTACGGATGCTGGTGTACTTTTATTTACAGTTCAGTGCAGCATAATCAAGACTACTTAAAAGTTACCTTATGTAAGTCATAAAAGACAACAGGTAAAGTCAAGAGAATTTGAAAAAAAAAATCTAAAGGAATCCTAAAATAATTGGATAAAATGCCTGAAGATTTAAAGGAAAATATCCCCACAGATGTTTCTGACTTTTGAGTAATAAGTGATGATGGGACAGGAATCCAAAAGTAACTCTTGATTCAGCTCAGTCAATTTGAGGGGAGGCTGATATACAACTAAGTTACTTTAGAAAGGAACAATTTGTAAGGGCTGATTTAAAAATCAAGAATTAGATGCCTACATTTCTACTTTGCTCTGAGCTTTTTTGATCATATGACAGAAGCTCATTCTAGTCTCATGATTCAGTAACATTCAGATTTATCTTTTTAAAAGAAACAAACAAGATCATACTTTGTTTAAAACAAGACATCTTGTGCTCAGGTACAGGATGAAGAGTCAGGAGACTTGGGCTGTATTCCTGGCTATGCCAGTCTTGCTGTATGACGTTTGGAAAAGTCACAAAATATCCTTTCTAATGACCACCAGAACACGTTGGTAAATATACCAGTGTATTACCAGGATCAGTGCTAATGCTTTAAACAGTTTGTTTTTAAACCCATCTCTTATAGCAGCCTAACCTTCAAACTTGGGAGGGAGAAAAAGTGCATCAGGTAGTCTGCTAAAAATCTTTGTCAATGTTGAAACTATTGACTGGACTCAAACTACTTTGGAAGTATCTTTAGAAGAGTGCTTCTGGGCCTCTGCTCAGCATCTCAAGTTTCATCCAAAGTACTTTTTTACAGAACAGCTATATATTCCTGAAAAAGGTGTGCTTCATGGGTGGTTGGTGCAGCTGGGGCTGGAGGAGGCAGCCCCGTAGCCCCATCCCCATGGGCAGGGGAGGAAGCGGGACAGCACCCAAGAGAGAAGAAGGTAGGGTAGTGCATGGAGCACTTCCCAGCCTCCCCAAAGCACCGGGAGGAGAGGGAGCAGGGGGAGGGGGCAAAGAAGAGAAGCAGGGCAGCATGCCAAGCAATCCCCAGCCTCCTCAGATTACTGGGAAGAGGAAAGGGGAGGGCTAGCGCTGGGGGCAGCAACACTCTGCAGCAGGCGCTCTGGGGGCAGAGTGTGGGTATGGCCAGGCTGGCGGTTTGAGAAGGCAGAGCCTTTCCCTGCCTAAATCACTGGACACCCGTGATGTGCTTGCAATGGAAACAGCTTTGAAAACTTTAGAGCTATGTAGTAGCAGAATTAGGAACCCCCCCTTTAATTTATCAACAGCTGTTGCATCATTTCACCTTGAATAATGCAACCTTTTGAACAGAGAATATATTACATTCATTTCACCAGCACTGCAGTCGTGCAATACTGAAGTTCATCTACAGAAGGTTAATTGATAATGTGGTAACTACATTGTTTCCATAGTTGATTTGAAACATTTGATTACAGGATAGAGGTTAGTTTTCCTCCCACTATTTACAGGCACCATACACATACACATTGTAACTGCTTTTTCAGGGATCTAGGTTGTGGTGATGTTAAAGTGTATAATATTCTCCTCCACACCCCCAAATAACCCCCTTTCCCCCGCAGCATATCCAACTACAATTGACATTGTTAGGGACAGAATTTCGTCTCTTCTCTTACATTCCCACTCCCAACCACAGCAGTCTTCCTCAAAAGCTCATCTTAAAACAGGACTTGAACATGTCTCAAAGTTAACATTGGTGAATAAATACAATGAACAATCCTGCGGCCCCTCAGAGACTTAATAAATTTATTTGATCGTGAGCTTTCATGGGTAAAAACCACTTCATCAGATGAGCTGGAGCAGAAATTACAGAATCAAGGGTATATATAACAAAAGAAGTTACCAGTCAATTGTAGGACCAGTGTTAAATAAGCTAATTAAATTGGGCTGGATGTGTCTCATTCATAGCATTTGATGTGGAAATGCGAATATCAAAGTTGGGAAAATTGCCTTTGTAGTGCGCTAACCAGTTAAGATCTTTATTCAAGTCTAAACTGATAGTGTTGAATTTGTGAACTCCAGTTCAACTGTCTCCTCCTGTGATCGGGTGATAAAATTCACTGGTGGGTAAGCAAGTTTCACAGAGAACAGACTACCAGCAGCTCCCATGTTTGGACCCAGAAACTCCATTTTGAGTGCTTGCACTCATCTCAGCTGTGGTACAGTAGTATAATATGGAGGCAAGGATCATTAGTTTGTTCCCACACCTCACTGCCCAGCCTCTACTCTCGCAACTTTTATGAAAGGTAGATATTAATATTTGCTCATCTTGCTTCTGTCCATTCCCCAAGTTATCTTGCCACAGAATTTACCAGTCAGACATACTCCTCACTCCTCGCAGAATGAGGAATACAAGATCTGGTGGGGACTATCCTCAGTGCTTCATTTGGGGGACTATACTAGACCCACTAAATCAAATGCTAGAAGATTGACCTCCTAAGTTGATCTTCTCTGTAGTATAGACATGCCCTTGGAGTCTATCAGTATACATTTCAAGATCGGTTTAAATTTACAAAAGCTCCAATTACTCTGCTTGTGGCTGCTCACTCTAGTCCCCATGGAAACTCATGGTGAATTACTGTAACCTGGAAAAAGGACCAGTAGGTCTAATTCACCACTGCAATGTTACTTTGAAATGATAGGGTTTTATTCATTTATCTCGCTCCAACTGGCACAGCATATGAGCATCTTGCTTTATTTAACAAAAACAAACCACATACACAACGTACCTCATGTAGAGTGAGAAAAACACAGCCAGTTCTTTAGGAGCCCAAGGACAACGTTCACTACTAAAAAGACATCATGAGACAACTTCTATCACCACACTCTAGAAAAGTTCAACTGTGAAGCCTACCAGAATAGTTACATTCACAATGCTCTGCAGGCTACAAACTGGTGAATCAGAGGGAGAGTTCTATAGACATCCTCTGCTGCGAACACATGGTGTCCCTTCTGTATCTTCTGCATGGAAACAGCCCGTTACACTGTTTTGGGCAGTTTTATCTCTCTTTCATGAAAGAAAGGGATTTTGCAGACAGCACCAGATCCTGCTGCTGTCACTTATGGATGCAGCTGAAGAGGGATGGGGTAGGAAAGTGATCTACTGTCAAAAAAAATCTCAGAGGGGTAACCGTGTTAGTTTGTAACTTTAAAAACAAGTAGTCCTGAGGCACCTTAGAGACTAACAAAAATATATATAGAATTGACTCATAGAACACTAGAACTGAAAGGGACTTCAAGAGGTCATCGAGTCCAGTCCCCTGCCCTCACAGCAGGACCAAGCAAGGTAGACATCTATCAGGGATGGTGTAGATCTAACCTGTTCTTAAATATCTCCAGAGATAGAGATCCCACAACCTCCCTAGGCAACTTATTCCAGTGTTTAACCACCTTGACAGTTAGGAAGTGTTTCCTAATGTCCAACCTAAACCTCTCTTGCTGCAGTTTAAGCCCATTGCTTCCTGTCCTATCCTCAGAGGCCAAGGAGAACAATTTTTCTCCCTCCTCCTTGTAACACTCTTTTAGGTACTTGAAAACCGCTATCATGCCCCCTCTGTCTTTTCTTTTCTAAACTAAAGAAGCACAGGCGTGCGCACGGGGTGTGCCAGGTGTGCACAGGCACATCCTAATGTTTCAAAGGGCTGTCCCTGGTATGTGGGCACAAGCCTCCGCACTAGAAGGAGCGCCACTTTGGCGCCGTGGGGAATGGGCGCCACGCCAGGTTTGCCACGCATGCGTAGCTGCGCAGTCAAAACCGGCAGGTCTTAGGACCCCGCTGAAAGAGGCAGCAGGAACGCAGTAATGTTACCCCGCCTCCCCGTCAAGCGTGGTGAGTTTAAACCCCGGGCGGGGGGAGGAAAGAGTAGGAGAGGTGGGGGGTGCCCCAGGTAAGGGACTGGGTGCAGCGCAACTGGCCCGGGGGGGGGGGGGGGGGAGG